AGGGAAAGAATACTTTCAAATTTCACAAATATCACTTTATCAAACATCATCATTTCTGAATAATGGATTTTTGCCAGTATCTGGAGAGTCCAGTTCTCAGTCTGAACAAAACATTTTTTTCTAGTCATTATTAATGCTACAATGTTTTCATGTTTTTAGAGAAACACTTAACATGCTAAATTGATATTTTGTTTTATCAACTATTTCTCAAAATTTACAACCTCAAACATCTTGTTTAACTGACTTTGTGACTGTATGACACCATAACCTAGCTGAAAATTTAATTGCAATAACCGATTATTGACTGGCATCAATCAGCCTGTTTTTACAATTCTATTTTTTCTGCTTGCATATCGCCAGAATTTTGGAACCTCTGAAAATTCAACATTCCAATTTTCACGTACACATAAATCTTAAATTGGAAGGAGTGCTATAATCATAAATTGAGTATGCCAGTCAGTATCATGAAAGCATTTGGTACTACCACTAAATTCGCAAATATTGGTGCCATACAGAAAAATCCACTAAATACTGAGAAGAAATAATTTACTTATTTCCTATAGCTCAATAGGACAAGTGTTAATAACAACGTTGATGCTTAATAACTATCAGCCTTGAATAGATTATTAAAAAATGAGACCAGCAGTAGCCTTATCTTTACCACAGCTGGTTAGTTTCCTAGTCTTTGGTTCTCCCCTCCCCCTCTCCCTCCCACCCATTTTTTGGGGGATGACTGAAACCATAACATTATTAATAAATGATTGGTGAACTCACGGATCATTAGACTTCGGAATAAGAGTGCCAAGCTCCTTGATTCGGTAATTAATATTATACCTTCTTCTTCTTTCAACTATTAAAAAAGAAATATTATTGATTATTCTCATTAAAGCATAATTCACTTTTGGTCAGCTGTAAACTTTCTTAACAATCTTTGAAAAACAATGAGCAAAAAAGTTTCATTTAGTGAAAAGGGTACTTCTCAAAAATAAAAAATTCAAACACATTTTATTCTAAAAGTAAAAATAACAATATTAGAATTGTGAGTCTATTATTCACAATTATTTTAAAACATTTTCTCTCAAAAACATTTTTATCATTCTTTGAAATGCAATAATATTCACTCATACTGATATATATATATATATATTTATATACTCTCCTTTCTCATACACGCCACTGAAAGGCTAACACAAAGTTTGCTACATGGTAGGTATGTGTGCCCAAATAGACTATGACCTCTTTGAGGGCAGGGACAATTTCTTTTGTATCTCCAGAGGCCTTGGCATGTAAAAGGTGCTAAATTAATATATGTTGATTAGACTATAAATATAGTTTTCTAATTTAACAACTTTCAATAATACATAGAGCAGTGATTCTTAAACTCTGGCATGCATCAGACACACCTGGAGGGATAGTTAAAATAAATTTGTACCCAGCACCTAGAGATTCTGATTTTAGTAGGACTGGGTTGGGACCCAAGAATTTGCATTTCTAACAAGTTCCCAGGTGATGCTGATGCTGCTTGTCTAGGGCTCACACTTTGAGAACTACTGATATAGGTTTTTATTCAGAGACTGTTTTCTCTGTTTGCATTTCTATGCATCCATTGCCTATGGAAATTTTGTGCATCTAGTAAATGTTCAATAAATGTCAAATATACAAATAAGTAGAGTTTTCTATATTGACCCTTATCTAAGAGCAGTCTTATAGAGCACAGAGTAGTCCTATATTCCCAGTGCTCTATATTTCCAGTATCAGGAACCACAACTTATGCATAATATTGTTTAAGTAGATAACATTTTTAAAGCTTTTTAGGGAAATGAAGGAAGTAAAATGTCATGAAGAAGAAGAAAACTATATGTCAAAAACATTAAACCATACATGCTTCAAAAATAAGATCTGCTACTAGAAACAAGGAAAGTCATGAAAAAAATATCAATTGTCTTGGTGAACCTACTCTACAAAGCAATTTACCATGAATGAACTTGACCTTCAAAAATAATACATTGGGATTCCTCTGAAATTAGGATATAATTGATTCTTGGGAGAGTTTATTCTCCCTCTTTACCAATCCTGTTTTCCTATGCATGTGCTACATGGTGTCAAAAAACTGACACCATATAAAAAACTGAAAAGAAAATAAAGATAATGCTGATAGAAATACATTTATATTTTACAGTGAGAATTTATTAGTAAGTCTATGTTCACACATACTCACTCCTATATTATAAAACAGACTTTTAAATATAAGATGAAGAGCAGCTAGGAAGGATGTTCACAGCTTTATCTCAAAATAGGAAACTGGTTTAGTCCTATAATGTTTTATCAAAATCTATTATTTAGATGCACCTTACATAAAATATCAGAAATTCCTACCCAGCTCTTCTTAGATTGTGCCCAGTAAAACTGTTAATGGCTAATTATGATGAGAAGTTTGGTTCCTCAATGTTTTCATCTCCAGTACTAGTTGTGTGTAAAGGAGTCAAGTTTTAAGAAATTACTAAACTATTTCATGCTACACGTGATTTCACTCGTCACCAAGTTTCTGATATATTCACTCATTCCTGTCCTTAGATCCAAGCAAAAGGGGCCTCTCTTCTCAGACCCCATACTGATGAGGAGGCCCCTTTGCCTTTTCTTACCACACCCATCCACACTGAGCAAGGGAGCCACAGGACAAAGGGATCCCCCTTCTAAACTACATTCCGGGTAATTTGCAACAGGAATATCTTCCCAAACACCCTGAGCCTGTTCAGGCTGCTTCCCAGGTCCATCCTCTTGAGGGAGGATCAGGACACCAAGGTGCTTACCCTAGTCCCAAGATGCAGACAAGGGGCAGCTGTTTGCAGAGATATGTATAGAACTTGAATATACAGAATGAGGGGTTCCCACTAGTGTTTGAGGCCACTTGCAGCATACAAATGCAAGTGGCCTCTAGGGGGTAGACAGAGAAGTGAGATGGGCTGCTGGCTAAAGGCTGGCATTGCCCCACCCTGACATTCCTACTCAGAATTCCAAGAATCTGAGAATTCTTATTTCACACCTGGCCTTCCAATCTTTAGGAAGGATAGAACATACTTAATTTAGCATTTCTAGCTTGAGTTATAGCTTTTAAGTATTTAGACATCTGGTAAGTGGGACTTTATTTGTCCTCCAGCCATGATCCTCACAAATGTTAAGGGATATCCTAGATTCACATTTAAAATGTGATACTAATTTTTTGTAACATTGATATCTCCAAAAAGGAAGATCACTAAGTAAGAGAATCCAAATTAGAAAACTCTTTGATAATGGTCATACCAGGCGCCTATCATACTTTACATTAAATGACCTGTTATTTAAAGTGCAAACATAGAGGAGAGAAGAAAGGATCAAGGAAGCTAATAGTTAGCAGGCTTAAAACTAAGAGAGAAGGCTTTATCTCCTTGATGTATTATTAATTCCTTCTGGCAACAGCTAGTTCTGTCTTTCAGGTTCTACTTGCCTCATAAACTGCACCAACACTTATCTGCTCTGCCACTAAGTAATCAGAATCAAATCATTTCCCTCTCCACAATTACTCTAAGGACTGGTATAACCACAGGTCAGCCTTCTCCTCAGTCACACAGTCAACCTACTCTGTGACGTAGGCAGATGCTTCATGAACAGATATATACAGGTTTCACAGGTACATGTAGAATCAATTTCAACTAAACACATGTAAGGAAATTCCTGGTTTGTTTTAGGGCTTTAAAGTTTTTATTTAATTCTATTCTATTCTATTTTTTTCTCATTTTTTGATTTGGCTCCCAGAACAAAAAAGCTTCACACTCAATTAGTCAAGCTCTCTTAAGACAGTTAAGCATTTGAGACATGACAAAGCACTCTAAAGCTCAACTTGCCCCTCAACAACTTCCCTGGACTGCATTTACCCATCTCATGTGACCCATTATCAGAGTCAAATTGACCCCCAGGAAGGCATAAGAGGCCCCTTTTTTGGCAGCAGCAGTGGAATTCACCAGTACAACATAAGCAGTACTTTCAGATAACTTATCATTAGGAAGGGAGGAGCAGATTGACACAGAAAGATAAGAACCTGGAGTCACATTTCTTGCTATTTAAATGGTGTACATTTTCTAAAGTCACTTTTATAACTGAGTTCAGACATAACTCAATGCTCACATGCAGTCTGAGAGAGAGAGAGAGAGAGAGAGAGAGAGAGAGAGAGAGAGAGAGAATGATCAAGGAGAGAACTTGAGATGCTGAACTTCATAAAAATGTCTAGCTTTTCTGAGAGTTCACATTGTTTAAATTTCCCAACATAGTTCTACCAGTGAGCATGTACACTTCTGGTCATCTGACCTCAAAATATTTATGGGGCAACAATAAAACATCACACATTTTAAATTCTGCATTTCCTCTTGCATTAATTAATTTTGTTTCAAAAAAAGGAAAATATACTTACTGAGGTTGTGGTTGTCCTTTTTTTGTCTCTCTTTTGCCAAAGCTCGAGTATCAGTATCTGATCGAAAGGAAGACAATTGAAACAGTACTTATTTCTACCTTACAATCCTTCCAGTCAACATAATTCAGAAATACTAGTGAAAATTACTTGCTCCAAGTGGTAAAATATATATACATATTTTTTGCAAATATTCAGAAATTTGGAACAGAGTGCTCTTTAGTAAGAAGGCAGTGACAAAACCTATGGGCTTTGAGCAGTAAAACCTGGATTTGTATTCTGGCCCTCCATTTAATAGCCTTGTGAACTGTTACCAAAGTTCTCTGTGTCTCAGGCTTCTTATCTGTAAAACTGATATAATATAATACTTACCTGATAATCACTGTGATGATTAAAAATAGGTACAGCACACAGAAAATATTAAACTGCTTAATCATTTTTATTAGTATTGTTCTCAGAATTTTAAGATTATTCAAAATTATTACAACATAATTTTTTTATAAAAAATTATGATTTCTACATCCCAAGAATTGGAACTAACTACATTCCTCAGATATTCCTATTGGACAACTCCATACTTTCAGTAAGTGACACTTCATGTGCTATGTAGTTGTGAGCATTTGTGATAGTCAGTCTCCAATATGGCCCACGATGATTTTCACTCATGATATTCACACCTTTGTTAATGCCCTTCCACAGTGAATAAAGCTGACCCGTTTAACCAATAGAATTCTGTGGGAATGATTAGTGTGGCTTCCCAGACTACATCATAAAAAACATTTTCAGCTTCCCACTTTGGTGTCCTTTGAATTGCTAGTTGTCATGTCATGTGGACACCTGAGCAGTCCTGTGGAGAGGTCAATGTGGTAAAGAACCAAGGCCACTTGCCAACAAGCAGCACCGACTTGGAAGACCTGTGAGTGAACCACCTTGGGAGTGCATCCTCTAGCCCGTCAAGTGGCAAATGTCTGTACCTCTGGCCAACATCTTGACTGCAACCTTATGAGAGACTCTGAGCCAAAACCAGTTTTAAAGGTCACCCCCAGAATTTCTGAACCATAGGGATTGTATGAGATAATAAATGTTTATTATTTCAAGCTGTTAAAGTTTGAGTAATTTGTTATACAGGAATAGATAATTAATACAATGTTCTTTGAATTATTCTAGTTTTAAAATAGAAATACATTTATTTAAATTTAGTTAAGGCTACATTCATTAATTTTAGTCTAAATAATTTGAATGCATAGATATTTTTGAGTTATTGGTTAGACTCCAAGAATGGATATATTGCATTTATTAAAAATGTTTATATTAACTGTATAAAAATATTTAAAGACCAGTGTTTGAGCTCCAAACTAAAAATTTGTTATGGAAATTTCGACTGAGTTTTATTTTATTCTTATGGAGAAACTAACACTGGTCTTATAAGTCATGAAATCCTTATTTTGATCCACTTCTGCTTCTAATCAGCTGTATGACTTTGGGAAAATAACTCCTCTGACTCTTGATTCCCACATCAACATATTGGAGGAATTTGACAGTGCCCCTATAATTCCTTTGAGTTGTAACAATTTTGAGATTTACTATTGAAAACTGAGGGTTTTTTACCCACATGAGAAAGTTAAATGTGAATCATGAAATCCATAAAACAAGCTAAAAAGGGGAAAATCTAATTTTCCTTAATCTATTAATCTGTTCTTTTGCAATCATGTTAATAAATTGCATCTATTCAATATCAAAATGAACCTATGTTAAGTGAAGAGCTTACTCAAACTGTCATATACATATGAATGAAGTTATGTGTATATTCACCCAATTCCTAAAATAATTAATTAATTCAATTGAACTGTAAGTTATGCTAACTTGCTGTTTGGTTGTCATAGAGGAAAAAAGAGATGGATTTACTCTCTAATTGTCTCCCATTTTAACTAACTATTTTAGTAATATTTTTTAAATCCTCTTTAGCTTGGAAATATATGTCACTCATGTCTTATGTAGTTGATTTTTAAAAAGGATGAAACTATAAAAGCAATGTTACCTGTAATTTCTCTTTTCATTGGTAGACTACTTGGACAAGAAGCACTTGTAAGGCCCATATTAACTGGTGAAATTCCCTGCTCACCACTATACACATCCAAAATACTTCCAGAAAGCTTTAGAGGAAAAAGGAAGAAAAGATCAATCAAATCTTCGTTGGATATTGACAAAGTATTTAGATGTTCATTTTAAATTTACTACTTTATTAATAGTAATTTGTAATATATAGCATTTTAATCTTAAACAAAAGTGAGTATGCCTTAATTTTGTAAAATCATTGTGGCATGCTTATGGATAAGTTATGTTGAAAAAAGCTATTTGTATTTAAGCAAAAGGAGAAATTAGTTCACTCACGAAGAAAAATTTTGATTAATATTTACAAAGCTATGGGAATTTGACCCAGGATATTACCTGGTTATAAATGAAAAAGATTGAAAATATCATTTTTGACAAAAATCAATATACATATTAGCAAAGCTGGAAAGTTCATTGCATGTCATAAATTAGGTATAATGGTTGAACATTTTGGAAGCCTTCTTAATACCATCAGTGCTACCAGAAACTCACAGTCAAGAGGTGTTCTACACTGTTAATTAAGTGAAAAACTTTCTTTCCTTCCTGGAAGGCATACTTTTCTCAATGTACACTTAATGTTCTAGATTATTATAAATATCCTAGCTGGTAACCAAAAGTAGTCTAAAACTGCTTTTACCTCTAGTGGATATAGGGTATGTCTAATTATAGCAACACTGCAATTCTTAAAGTGCTTCTTGGGAACAATTTTTCAGAAAGCTAAGATACTTTATACACAATTTAAAATCGTACCAATTTGTTAGTTAAAATGTGCTTATTGATTTGATCTCCCAAGAAAAAAATTTAAATAATATTTGTAACTCAAGTTAATATTCATTATTCCAGAACAAGCTACATTTAAAATATAAGATTTGAATGTTTAAAATATTTCCATTCTAAGTATCTTTATTTCATTTCTGGGAAGTCAACCAAGAGCTGAATAGGCAGTATCATTTTTCTTTCCTAAAGAACTAAAAATAATACAAGTAACAAAGCAAAGCTATAATCAGATTATTATGGAGACTCTAACATCTTATTCCCACTTTTTGTAAAACTCCAGTTCAAACTGAGGGAAAGTTTTTAATACTTATAAAATCGGATTGAAAATAAATGTGAAGAAAGACCAAAATTAGTTTCTGACATAATAATCTATTAAACTATATAATAATATTGTATATTTCTGAGGGAAAAAAATCATTGAAAATACAGTGGAAATCAGGCTAATATTTAAGTGTATGTGCATATCAATAAGGACATTATAGATTGCATATGGTATTCTGATGTATGTTTTCATATATTGGTTCTTCTCATTATATACTCTATTTGGACTCCTCATCTTTATTTTATATAAATTCATTGTTTTAAAATGTATTTTTGCTTCTGGGACCTTAGAAGGGAGAGCCTTAAGTGGGATATTTATTCCCTCTCAATTTCCTCATCTGAAAAATGGGGACAGGGACAAAGTTGACCAAACTGGATAGATGAGTATTAGTATCAGTACAACACAATTAGGAAGAAATCCTAAAAGCAGATATTTCCCTAACATGTGAGTCATTTAGTTATATTGGTAAAATTTAAAAGTTTCCAAAATCTTTTTTTGAAAACCCTGTTGGTTATAAGCTGGGGCATCACCAACCTGAATTGTTCATTTCCACTGTGCCTTTGAGAAACATAATGGACATGCTGAACAAAAAGACAGGGAGTGAGGGAGAAGGAAGGGGGAAAGAACTAGGAAAAGGGCACTTTTCTCTGAAGAGTTTGAATTCTGATGGATTTCAATGCAGCAGTGGCAAATAGCAGAAATGTTTGAGAAGAAAAGGAGCCATATTACATATACACTGCACAATAAAGTGATAGATTCCTAACTATAGCATCTCACTGGGTCCATATTACCTTGTCAGACTGTACCCAATGCATTTTTCCTTAGAAATGGGTCTGGAATTCTGAAAATGAATCTAATCCTGCTTAACTGTGGGTATATTACATCCTCTCCTGACCTTGGTTATTGTCAATTTATGCCCTGAAGCACAATGATTAATATCCTATTTAATTTTATGCTGTAGGTACTACTCTATTTCATGTAAATAGCTAATCACTTTTTGAATATCATTAAACAATTGGTTTCAGTTTCAAAGTATGTAATACATCTCACATAATCTAAAGAGCCTTTTCTCCATTAAAAGATATAAGGGTACAGTGTTAGTGAAAATTTAAAGTTTACATAGACATTGGAAAAGGCTTACAAAGCAAAATTATAACTACTTTTTTTAAAGGTATAAGTTACTTAGGTATTAAGGTCTAAGTCTTAGCTTTATTTTATAGAGTAGTAGGCAACTGGATAGATATTTTATGAAGAAGTATTTATTATTCTGGTTAAAACACAGGTTACTTTTTCAGAAAAACAAAATCATTGACATAACAATAGGGAAATATTATTATTAGAAATAAACTCATAAATTTTAAAGACATCTAATAAAGAATTTATTATAAAATATTTTCAACAAGGTAAAAAACATACTCCTCAAGACAATTCTTCTTTCCAGTAGAAAAAAGTGAACTCCTGATCTAAGAAGTTGCTTTGAAGTGAGAAGTGATTGGCAGTGGTTCCTGATGTCCAAGATTCTCTACCCTAGATTTTAGTCACATCTCATTACTAAGATCATAGAGACTTAAGTGGACTGAGCACTGGCCTTTCCACACATATGCTACCTTTCAGAGTAGCCAATATTCCCTAAAGAAAATTAGCTCACAAGTCAATATATCAAAACGTTAGAGGAAAATGACTTATTTTAAAAGTTAAACAATATGGAGTGTTAGAAATAACATCAAAAGCACAAATTTTAGAAATAAAAAGTAAAAGATCACATGAAACCAAGTTTTTAAAATTGACCTAGTGTACATTCGAAAAGAAATAAAGATATTTGTAACATCTTTATAATATAAAATAACTTGTAATAATTTATAATATAAAATAATAACAAGAAAGCATAAAATGGCTGAAGTGATGAAGCAGAAATAGGAACCATGAAAATATAATACTTGAACAAAATAAAACTATGGAAAAAGAGCATAATGCATATACTTAGAAAGAAATAAAGGAATTACCAAATTAAAGTAATCTCTCAGGAGGGTGATGAAAAGAACTAAGAAACAAAGCATACGAAATAAAATCTAATTAGTATGTAGGATAGAATTATTAGAACTAAAATACAGACAGGTATTAGGACTCTCAGAGAAAAAGAATAAATAAAAATGGAAGGAAGAAAAAATTTTAAGAAATAATGGAGATGCATTTCCTAGAATTAACACTAAATAAAAGACCAAAAAGTCTTTTATTTTATCTCATCTTATTTTATCATTGTTATATTTTGATTTAAAAATCAAAGGGCCTATAGAATATCAAAGAAGAAAAACCTACACCCAGACACATTATAGTGAAATTTAAGAGTATACAATGACAAAGAGAAAGATTGAAAAGCCTAAAGAGAAAAAGAAAAGATTATGCTCAAAGGAACAAGAATCTGATTAACATAAAATATTTCAATAGCAAAATGGATGAAAGAAGAAACTGAATCAGTATTTTTCAAATGTTTAAAGAAAAGGACTTAAAATACAGAGTTTTATATCCAGCCCAAATATCATCCACATATGAGGTCATGATGAAAAATATTCTTAGAGGTATAAAATGCTTAAGAATATTTTCTCTCAAAGACTAACACTGAAAACAGTTTTGGATGAAGCAAATATGATATAATAAAATATGTCATAAAAAATAATCAAATATCTTGGTAAAGTGGTTGTAGTCTAAAAAAGAAGAAGGGAATCAAAGTCAAAGATAAAATGAAATGTATAGGGCTTCCCTGGTGGCACAGTGGTTGGGAGTCCACCTGCCGATGCAGGGGACACAGGGTCATGCCCCAGTCTGGGAAGATCCCACATGCCGCGGAGTGGCTGAGCCTGTGAGCCATGGCCGCTGAGCCTGCACGTCTGGAGCCTGTGCTCCGCAATGGGAGAGGCCACAACAGTGAGAGGCCCACGTACCGCAAAAAAAAAAGAAATGTATAACCATATAACTCAGTACTAAAGTCTAGATAATATCAGTATGATTGGATTGGAGTAGTAAAAAAGCCAATGGATGTGAAAGTGGTAAAAAAAAATTACTAAAGAAAAACATATTAAAATGTAGGACTCACTTAAATAATAAAATAAGATGCGAGAAACAAATGAAAATATATCAATAAGAATAATCAATGTAAATAGGTCAAACTCCTCAGCTAAAAGGTTGACAGTTTGGTTAAAAAGACAGTATTTAGATCTATGTGGCTTACAAGAGACACCACTACATTGCAAAAGGACACAAAAGATTGAAAGTTAAAAGATGGGAAAAGATATGTCCAGCAAATTATAACCATAGGAAACCAGTGAACTACATTAATATCAGAGAAAATAGGCTTTAAAATTAGAAAAATTAGGGCTAGAGAGAGTCACTATCTAACAATAAAGAATTCAATTCTCCAAAAAGGCACAGCAATTATGAGCAGGATTGTACGTAATAGAATAACATAAAAATATGAAACAAAATGTTTGTAACTACAAGGAGAAATTAATAAATCCATCAACATATTGGGAGATTTCAACATATTTCTCCCTGTTTTTTGAAAAGTCAAGTAGACAAAAATAATCAGTAATGTTCTAGATGTAAACAATAAAAGTAAAGTCTTGGCCTAATACATGTATATAGTTCTACATCTACAAATTAGAGGACACACAGTTTTCCAAGTACGTATGGAATGTACATAAATATTGATCATGTACTCAGAAAAAATACTAAAACCAACTCCCCCCCAAAAAAAAATTTCAAACATTTCATAGAGTTCTTGATTTCCTATATATTTAGAAATTCTTAAGTGACTCAAGAGTAAAGACCAAATCATACTGTAATTTAAAAATAAATGAAAGATACTGAAAACACACATAAAGAAACTTCTGGAATATGGCAAAATAATGCTTTGAAGGAAATTTATGCCCTTAAATATGAGAAAAA